CTACTGCTACTACTGCTACTACTGCTACTACTGCTACTACTGCTACTACTGCGACTACCACTACCCCTACCATTAACTACTAACTGCTACTAATTACTTCTAGTTACTAAATACTACTAACTACTGCTAACTACTACTAACTAGGTCCACGGCTCATAGACGGCCGAGAGGTTTTGTAGGGTTTTTGGTAGGTTGCAGACGTCGTAAACCTTTAGCCTGCTCAAGTTTCTTACTGGTTTGGGAACTTTTTGTATTGAGACCGCAACCTGACAGGGGAGGACTTAAAATGAGCCTTTCGCTACAACGAGGAAGCACATTTTGATAGTTTTACAACGTCCAAACTACTTAGTTTTTGAGAGACTGGATGTTTTCAATGCACCTTCAGCCTGACTGGGGGCAAATGTTGTCAGCTTCAATCTGAGCGTTTGGAGAAAGCGAAATGCACATGTTTTACTTCAACAGCGTCGACAAGTGGTTCAAGAACTCGCGTGGAGTCTCTGACATGTTCTTGGCGGTATGCATACATGTACACGTACTTACAGCCTCTCTCATTCAGCATGCTATGCCCATCTTTCTTTTGCTTTGCAACCAAGTGATGGGGCAAGAAAGTCTTCAGACTCAATCATGTGCGATCACGCAACTGTGAGACACGGCATCATATAACGTCGTAAAAAGAACACGAGACACCGCGGCCATCTACAAGCCGTTGTCCCCTTCCTCCTCCTCCTCCTGCTCCTCCTCCTCCTACTACTACTACTAGGAATTACTGTTTCCCTTGTCCAGCCTGGCTGCGGCTTAGAGCAGCACGATCAACACTGTAGCCAAGAAAGGCTGAAACGGCACACAGCAATTGTAATCCGTTACACCTCAAGATGTTGGTAAACTAAGTAAATCACAAACTGCAGACACAAGAGCATGACCAGCACAAAGAATGTTCCTGCAATACAAGACATCTCTGTGCTCTTACCGGCTCGGAGTTTGTTCCACCAGAAGCGCGAGCAGCTCAACCAGCAGTTCTTGCGGCATGGAAGCACAGGCCTCTCGTGCAGCCTGCAGAAGAAACATGAGGGACTCAAATCCGTCGAAGCGGCAAATATTCCTAACATCTCAGGTGAGGACTCCATCATTCCAGGGTTCGCTGACCACTATGGCACACTTTGGACCCTAAACCTAATAGCAGCGATGGCCTCCAACCTAAGAGCGATGGCCTCCAACCTAATAGCGGTAGTCAAGCAATCGCCCAAGAGAAGGTGGGGTGTAGACTGCAATACTACTCGGACGTCAGTGGAAAGTTAATAATACTGCTCATCCACCGGCCGCACGAGTTGTACAAAGCAACAATTATCGCCATTGGACTTCAATGCCGTGTTGGCTGCAGTCACCATCAATAAATACAGACTAAATGAGAACAAATGCAGAGTTCCAAGACTGATATACAGACTTGGAAACAGGTGACAGAATTCACTTAGCAGACCGGGAACAAACAAAATGAAAGAAAAAAAAGGCGTTTCTGAGCCCCGCCGGGGGTCTCCCCGCCGGCTTCCTGCCTTGGCCGTGTCAAGCATGCCGGCCATGCGCCGAAGACTGTCCTTCGCCAAACCGTATTGGTGAATAGATGGAAGGCCACTAGCCCCGTTCGTAGCGTCCTTGCTCCTAGTAGTAAGGCCAGGAGCCCCTAGTAGCGGGTGAATAGATGTAGCATGGACCACGTTGGAAGGCCAATTTATCACAGACAGAATTACTTTATCACATACAGAGCATCTAGTCCTCTGCCAGATCCAGAAAGCCCAAGTGGTGAGCTCTTGCGGCAACAACCCCGATTTCCTCATCATGTGAGAATTCAATTGTATCAAGCACGCAAAAAGTGCTGCCACAAAGCATGCTGTGCGTTCTGACATGTTCTTTTAATCATTGTCCTTTTGCATGCCATGCACATGCACGAAGCTTTCATGTTTGTATCTAGTCGCTAGTTGGTGAAAAAGCCATCCTCACTCGCAAATCTAAACCTTTGCAATCCTCCAAATCCATGTCGAGCCAGTACTGTTGTGGTTTTCCAGTCTAATCCATCAAGGCATTCAAATGAAATATGAACATGTGACTCGCCTCCAGCGGCGCTGCAAGCGCAGCAGCCTCACAAGTCGCTGACAGCGCTTCCGTTGTGCTCTCCAATTGGAGGAAATCACCTGAATCGGAAGTCCGATGCCCATGGCTAAAGTTCTTCCAAGAATTATCCTTTTGCAAGTGTACAAGTGATTTTCAAGAGCTTTCTTCAATATTATTTCCGTGTCCTTTTCCGGCACAAAGTGCCCGCAAGGGCTACCAACGAAAAAAAGAGTCGCGCCTTCCAGGAGGGCCAATAGATCTAGAGCAAAGCGCGCCTGCGATGAAAGCCACAAAACCAAGCTGCACACTGCGGCACTCCACTCATCTCAAGCTGCCTACGGCCTTGCCCTATTTTCAAAAGCTGAGATCTCTGTGTGTGAGTGTCACACAAAAATGACTTCCCTGATCGCTTTAAGCGATCAATCGGAGTCGAATCCTGCGAGAAAGAACGCTGCAATTCTTAGGAGTCTGCATGGGGAAATGCCGATCTCGATTTCAGCAGCAATTGGTGTAATCCGAGACCGTGCGCATTGCGTCAGAGAAGTAGTCACAACAGCTGGCAGATGCGTCAGTGCCTTTGGATGTCTCGAATATCCGGTGAAACATATCCTCAGTCAAAGTCAAAGTCGAAGTGACAGAAAGTGGGAATACACAAATACACAGCAGAAAGTCTGCCGAGAACACAAGGCTTGATAAATGCAGAAGAGTATACAGTATGTTCACAACTTGCAAAATTTGAGTATCATTGCTCTCTGTGCACTTCCGTGTCAATTTCTAGAACACGGATACATCTGTTATCATTGTCTTTGTGCTCCATACCGTTTTTCTTGTTCCTGAGTAACCCTGAGCCCATGAAATTGAGTTCGAGCATACCTACATAAACAATAAATCTGCGACCTATTGTAGTATCATTGCAAAACTAGATCAACTCTACATCTGTCATGAGGATATGGAATAATACATTCAGGAACATGTCCCTGCAACTGCACATGCCGCACATGCCCTCCTTAATGAACTGGCGACTGTGCACCAAAGGCCTTTTGCCAAGGAGCCGCATTCATCTGCCTTCCACTGCAGTACCTGAGAACTCAAAACCTCAAACATCTGCAGTACCTGTGAGTTCTCTTGTGTCATCCCTGCTTTCATCGAAACACATCGCTACGTCCAGCGAACCGTACCGGTCCACCACGTCCTTTCCGTCGGTGTCGCCAAGGCTCGTGTTCGTCAAATGGACGGTTTCGGACCATTTCGCCTCCAGGGGTGGACGAACAGATCCTGCAGCTCTCTGGATGAAGGCCCAATCTTGTCGACCAATTCGCCCATCCAGCATCAACGCCAAGACAAGCATCGAGCAAGCGAAGAGTGCATCTCGATGATTGAGGCCTCGTGTGCAAAGTGACAAAGTCACTACACACTCATGTCACAAAGGACAGAACCAAATTGAGATTGTCAGAGAGCTCCAAAAAACATGTCCGTCTAAGATCTCTTTCTTGCTTGCTGCAGCTCTTCAAGCCTCTTAAAAAGGGTATCAAACATTGTCAAACGAAATCGACCCAGGTTTAAGTTAGCGGCTACCTGCCACCTTCGCTACCTTGGCAGCTACTCCTTGCCTGTCAAGCCATCGAAGAATAGATCCTCTTCATCCAGGCCCAAATCTGCAAGCTCTTCGTGCAGTGTCTCAGTGGGGTCAGCACTTGCAGGCGAGGACCGGCAGCCGCAGCACCGGCGCCGTTGTTTGGATTGAGTCGATCGATGAGATCGCTGAGATACACGGCTTTTTGTTCGTTGCACTCCACACGAATGACCATAGTCCTCCTTCGCTCGCTTTACAAAGGTCTGATCAGCAAAAAGTTCGACCACATGATTCAAAAGAAAGCGCGAGTTGGGATGAAGCTGCATCTTGTAAGTGATGGAAACCCCCACCGCTCGCAGCGCTAAGAGCTTCAATTCATCTGACAAAGGCTCCTCCACATTCTTGGAGCGACGATGTGCCTTGATCAGCTGGCTGGTCACTTCCACCGTCGCCGACGGCCCCAGGGAGCAAATCATGACTTCATTCATTGCATAGTTCACGGTCACTGAATTGAAGACTACATTGATGAACACCTCCACTGCCAATGGAGCGAACTCGGTGACTTTCAAGAGGGTCCGAGGAGCTGCTTTCTTCACAATGAGCTTGATGATGAATTTGGTCACACCGCGGCTGCCCATGTAAATCAAGGCGTAGAAAAGCAAAAGGCATTTGTTGGCTCTTTTGTACGGGTCAATCCCAAAGGTCCGCACTTTCGGATGGCCCAATTCGAGGGCCGAACGAGCAAGGGATCCAGCAAGCATGGCTCGTTCCTTGTCCATTGGCACCAGCAAAATGCCGCAAATACGGGTCATTCTGACGGTGGCCACCAGAGCGGCAATGCAGCACACCACCATTTCGGCCAAAGACCAGAGCAGTGAAAAACTCCCTGCAAGCACATTCCACATGACGAAGTCTTCCTCTTCATCAACTATAGTGGACGTGAAGTCATTGAGGACTTGTGCTAGAAAAGCAGCACCAATCCCCGCTAGTGCTCCAGTAGAGACAGCCGCATACCTGGTCCGCCATAGACTTCGGCGTTTCCTCTCACTAAGAACATGCGCTTTTGTCACCTTTACATCCATGGATTTGATCACTGAAGCTGCAGCAGCCACTGACATCTCCTTTTTCACGTGTGAGTCCTTGGAGGGGATGCCAAATGCAGACGCCAAGCCACTTGCAAGGTCATTGAAGGCAGAACTTACTGCTGCTGCAGCTGCAGCTGCTGCCCCGTAGCTGTTGGTGCTAATTCTCCGCAGTTTGCCCGGCTCTTTTCCTGCTTTTTCAGTATCCTTCTCGGGTTCGAGCTGCATCTTGGGTGCTGGGCTTGTTGGCTTCGGAGTATCAGAAACCCAAAGATCCAGTTTGGGATGAACAACGGCCGAGCGAACAGCTACTGGATTTCGAGCCTCCTTGCGAACAATGCAGGGAAGGTTTGCAACTTGTAAGGGTGAAGTCGTGCGAGAAGCTAATGATGGAAACCGAGATATCTCTGATCTCCAATCTTCTGGCATTTCCACCACTTGAAGCTCTGCATCTGGAAACTTTGGATGGACCACAGCTGGGCGGACGGCCATGGGATTCTTGGCTTCTTTGCGGACAATGCAAGGAATATCAGCAACAACCCAAGCACGTGGAAGTGAGCGGAGCTGCATCTCATGTGCACTGAACTCCTGTCTCTCATGTTTCTCCTCTCTCTTTTCTCCCTCTTTCCTCAAGTGTTTCTCTTGACTTTCTCTTCTCATCCTGGCCTGCATCTCCTTGCAGGACTCCTTGCTTGCTTCGCCTGCCTCGCTTGCCCTTGCCTGGGGCTCCTTGCCTCGAAGTGGAATCTCTGTGAGGTCCAAAGAGAAGTCATCAGATGAGGCCTCTTTACTTCTTCGACTTTTTCGATTTCTGCCATACATTAAGGAGAGCATCCAATATAAAGACTTCTCAATCGCTGGCAATTCTGCAATCACTTGACTCTCCTCTTCACGGCTGATCACCTTGTTGCTTTGCAAGCTTGACGGGAGCTCCACCAAAGCCTCCAAAGTGATCTCCGGGAAAAGCGACGAAAAGTCATCCGTACAAATGCCACGGACAAATTCCTGCCAGGTGATTTCCCCTGAGTCATCGGTATCCAGGAAAGCCATTAAATCAGCAGCTAATTTGAGATCAATGTTCAACAGCTCCATCATCCGAATGATCTCAGGCAAGCTGAGAGTTCCATCTCCATCGAAATCCAACCAGCGAAAGACTTTTCCAAAGAGGGCCACCCGGCCAAGCATCACGTGAAGTTTGCTTTCATCAGTGCCAGAAAGAACTTGAGTGATTGCATCAGTCACCTTCATGTGATTGGTTCTAGTGCATCCATCAAACGAGGAGACAATGATTTGTTGCCGTTCTGGACCATTAATGCCCATCGCTGCCAGCAACGTTTCCACTTCTTTTGCATCGAGGTCACCGGATTGATCCTCATCGATGAGGTCAAAGTGCTCAGAGCAATTCTCCGCAATGGCATGGCGTAAGGTGTTTGGCATTTCATGGAAGAGCTACCGCAAAACTCCACGCAAAGAGCGCAAGAAAGCAAATCTAAAAAAAGGTATGTGTGCAACATTGCATGGTGAAAAGCACATTGTTCCTGGAGTGCGGTTTGGTGGAATTAGGGAGGAATCCAAGCGTGAATCTTGCCGCATGAGACCATGAAAGAATGCTTTGAGGAGACCACGTGGTGATGTTTGTGCTGCGTGTGCTCATAAAACTGGCCAGTGTCTACAAACACTTGGGCAATCCGTGAGCAGCGTTTTTGTGTGAAGAGCAATTTGTCTCAATGGCAAAAACGAAGCATAGAACAGGATTGGCTTGGGTTTGTATGTACTTCCAATGTGATTGCTAGTCTAGTGAAGTAACCGTGTCATGTTCTTGTCTCTCTGATCTCTGCTTCTCAAGCCTCCACCTCATGACGCCCGGTGTAGAAGTACCGGACCAGTGCATGGAAAGCACCCAATACGTAGCTCGGATCCTCGCCGGGCCTCCACAGCCCCAGCTCCTGACCAACCGCGTTGTGCCACCCACTGTGGAGGGAAAAGCATGGCCAAAACCGAGGGAAAGAGATGAAAAGGTCAAAGAGACATGGAAAGACCGACAATCCAAGTAGGTCGACCCCAGAGACCTGGAGGGGCAAGTTGTCTCTCAGGAAAAGCGTTCGTGTCATGAGTCATGAGCCGCTGAGCTCATCTCACCAATGATCCCGGGCTCCTCCACAATACCCAAGTGCACAACTCGCCTTTCTTGCTCTATAAAACCCGCACTCAACGCCCTTGCAAAAAATCCGCTGCGGGTGCAGAGCAGCAAGGCATGAGCACCTTGGAGAGAGAACATGCACACACGAACGAACACGCACATGCACGGCGTTCAGAAATACAATCTCCAGCAAATATGAAGCCGCCATTTAGACTTGAGCACTCTTACTGCTGCCCAGCTTTTTCTCTAAAATTCAAGTCTTGCTTTACGACCCCGACGATGGCTCGTAAGCACGGAAGGAGCTGCATCCGCAACATCGTGAAGGAGCTGTTCGTCTGGAGAATGCACCATGTGCCGCACGTATCAGCACCGATGTGTAGCAAATGGTTGGAGTCAGTTTTGGAGGGGTGGGCATCAGTCGGCTCCACACGTTCGAACTCCTACTTTGGGAAGCGCATGTTAAATGGCAAACGGCAAGAGTGAAGGAAAGTTGGGAATGATGGAATCAGAGAAGAGTTGGAAAGCGTTGAATCAGAAATGGCCCAAGCAGGGTTCTTCGAGTTAAAGCCGGCCAAATCTATGGTGCTGGTTTTTGAGTCTGTTCGCTTTGAAGGAGTGAACGGAATCTGAAGCTCAGCAACTCTACACAGCTCTGGACAGAGACCGGTGAGGGGAGCGTAGCTGAAGCTGTTGCCCAGCTGTTGTTCACATTTTTGACCTTGGAATTCACATCCCTATTCGATGATTTATAAATCCCTGACGTGTGCCAGACTACTTTAAAACATGCTCAAGCACTGAAGATATCCGTGTCGTTTCCACGATCTCCTTTGTGGAAAACTAACTGTCCGTTGCAGCTGGCCAGGAATTCATGCAGTAGTTAACGCCTGAAGACTTTGGTGTTTGCCAAGATCTTCATCTTTCTGAGGACAACACGTGCTGATGCGGCTTGGCTGTCATCCATGGGCCGTCCGAGAATTACCTCACATTCCGTCTCAATGTGAAAGGCCAGACCGGCATCGGGGGAAGATGTTGAGGTCAGAAAGTCTGTAGATTGGGAATTCATAGCCTTCACTATTAGGTCTTCTTAGGTTGGAGGCCACAAGGCCTGTAGGTTGGAGGGAACTGACAGTCACAAGGCTACAATGGACATCTCAACTTCGTGACGTGACGGAAAGCCGCATCCGACCAGCTGCAGTGACTTGGTCTTCATCGGAGTCGTCGTCATCCAGTTCCTTCAATAGCATGGCCAAATCGTCCTGAACACGTCGGCTTCACAGCATGTCTTCCATCGGATCCAAACCTCGAGCATCTCGAGCCTCCAGTACAGCGCCGGGGGTCCCATGGCCAAGCACCATTCCAGGCAGCAAAGCTGACCAACGTCCGTGACCAGATGCTTCACCCTCAGTGTTGTCAGAGCCCCGTTCGTAGCGTCCATTGCTCCTAGTAGTAAGGCCAGGAGCCCCTAGTAGCGTCCTTTTCTACAAGTTTCGCACAGCAAGTTCTGCCACGAACTACAAAAGGTGCATGTCGGACATTCTTCCACCTTCTTCGACAAGCTCTGTGCACGGCCGGTCCACGGCCCGTGCACCCGTCTGCCTCGCTGCACCAGGCTTTGCAGATTCGTGCCAAAGGCTCGAGCTCCTCGCTGACGAAGGAACAAACGCAAACGCTTAGAGTTCGCTCAAAAAAAGACTGTTGCCAAAAAAGGAACTAATCGCAATGGCCTCTAACCTAACAGCAACGGCCTCCAAAAAGAAAACCAAATCTAATCATATGGCGCTCCAAGAAGTTTGCAGCATCTGCAAGGGCCATCACGCGCCCATGCACTGCCTGGCAGCGTACCAGAATAGCGACATGAGGATGGCCAGTCATCAGATCAAATCCCAGTGCCTTATTGTTTCAGAAAAGATGTAGTGTCTAGTTCTTGAAATGCCTCATCTCGCTCCTCTTACTACCGTGCTTACGTGCCAAACAGCAGTATATATCTGTCAGTACTCTTGCAGCTTTCAGCTTGGCTCAGCTTGGCTCAGCTTGGCTCGGATGTCTACAAACCTTTTAATTGCCTTTTTAGACCTTTGTGAATTTGACAAAACCTGTGCGGTCCCGCTGGGGCACCTTTGAGTCCGAGTCTTGCTCGTGCTCCCAGGGCAACAAGGCTCCGTAGAGATAAGCGATCAAGTCCCTCAAAGCTGTTGCTGAGACACCTGCAAAGCTGGTGCAAAGCTGGTGCAAAGCTGGTGCAATGCTGGTGCAATGCTGGTAAGGCAAGAGCGACCATTAGTCCTTGCCTGGCAGGTAGATTTGAGTCGTCTCCTTCCTGTCACACAGCTCTGTGGCGGCACAAAGGGGATGCATGTTGCATGGCTTGCAACAAGAAGAACCCTGGCCATCACACTGGCTCACACGGATCCTGTAAGCAGCAGGACATCGGCATCGGAGAAGGCAACGGTGCACCTGCACCAATCGGCATGATGCGTTGCACAAAGCAAGACAATCAAAAAAGGCAATCATCCACATTGATAGCTATGTAGCATGTATCTCACATGGCCCATAAAAAGGAGACGCAAGTGACTCACATGATGAACACCAAGTGAATCCTCTTGGGCCACCATTGTGTGTGTGTGTGTGTCGCAGTGCACAAAAACGCTCCCCCTAGTAGCTTCTAGCTACTAGTAGCGATGCACTTGGGCCACCAAGTAGGTTTGGCACTGGAGAGACTGGCCCTGCGGGGCCTTCCAAAAGGGTCTTCTGTTCTCGTCGGTAAACCAGCTCCGGTGTTCTCGTTTGTTTGGAGCTTCAATTCCCTTTGATTGCCGAAAAGCAACCCTCCATTTGACTTGCTCAGCCCAGGGCGCTAGTTGCAACACTGGCTTGCCAAAGCCCTTGTACTCTGCTTTTGTCGTGATGTTTGTCAGTGTTGTGGTCGACGCCAGTGTAATTAGATGTAATTATATAGTATGCACGCACAAAGTTTGTCTGGAGTGTGGACCTAATTCCAAGGTCCCTCACCCTGTTCCCAACCAGAATCTTGGCAATGCTGGTTTGGTGAGATTGTTTTGAAGTGTGCAAGAGTGCACACAATCCGCCTGTCTGAAGCCGTCGTCACACATCAAGGTCGCATAGCTGCCAAACATATCTCTATCTGGCAAACGAAAAATGTCTCCTTCACCGCCTCACTCTTAGAGACCGTCACTTTCACAAACCGCAGCTAAGTAGTAGAAACCTGATTCTGCCAAGCTTCCGCGAGCAGGACCCATGCAAGGCTCTGCTTGCATCAACCTCATCTTCACTGTGTGAAAGGAATTGCGCTGAATTAGCTTGCTCACATACATTCCTGCTACATGGAAGTGTGCTGTACCAAAGGATTCTGTGCTCATTCTCTAATCAGAACGAATGATATTACGTAGGCGTCCGTAAGTCTGAATCCTTCCACATCAACTTTGCCAAGGAATGAAACCACGTCCACGCCCCATCTTCGCAGCTCTTGAAATGCTGAGCAAGTGTCCAAGTGGCTGACCGACTGATGTCTTTCCCTGGAAGAACGGCTGAGAAAACACACACAACTGACATGGCACACGTCCATCATCACATTCTGAGCCGTAGACTAAAGATGAGCTTCCGCCAGCAGCTGTCGTGATTGAGGCACTCTGTGCATCCAGCTCGATATCCTGGCATCTAGGTGGTCGAGCAGATCGAGTGCCAAGCAGACCTCATAAGTTGATCTGCGCAAAACGCGCAGAACACTGCCATAGATGGAGAAAATGACAAACTGTTCAAGCCCTTGGGGTGACCTCAACCCCTCCCTGCATCCCTCAAGCATGTCAGCGTTGCGGCAAAAGGTCCCACAATCAGAAATCAAACTACAAAAAAACTAGTGTTTACATTTACATCTACTGCATCTACTGCAGCAAGCATGGTTGCGCCTGGGTTGCCCTCTGTGAAAAAAGAACTCAGAAACTGCGTTTGAGGGTATTTGTGGCGACAGAAAAAAAAGAACATGTCTATCATGTCACGTCTGTCTTTGCACCTGCAGTTTGCCACTGGCTTAGTTGCTTCAATGGCCTCCACCCTAGTAGCGATGGCCTCCAACCTAGTAGCAAAGGCCTCCAAGCTACTAGCAATGGCCTCCAGCCTACTAGCGATGGCCTCCACTGCCTCCGCTTCAATGAGAATTCTAAAAGCCTCCCATGGTGCCGATGCCGCCCATAGCTGATGCATGCTGATGCTATGTGCCATCCCGTCCTCCATGGCCATCCAAATGCCAACTGAGACGCAAATGTCCCTCTGCCGTGTCGGCGCCCCGACGGCGTTCGGTGCGCTGCTCGCTCTGGTCTGCGAAACCGAACGCTTTTCCCGGTTCCAAATACCAAAGCCTGGGTTCTGTCGAAACCGAAAAAGAACCTGTTTCTAAGATTTATAGTTAGAGCTTACAATCGGCGAAACAACACCGAAGAATGCAACATCCTGAAGAGAACGCAACAAAAAGGAAAGTGCGGCTTACACTTGGAATATCTGACCATAAAAAGTGCCTGACACTTTACATCCAAAGCTCACACCATTGTGAACCGTTGTTTGCCACCGCGCGCACAGGGTCGTCACCAAATCTCGCTTCCCACAAGCAGAAATGTCAAGTTGCAGTCCTGGCATGCCATATTTTGCTATCGGGCGTGTGTGGACTTGTCGGGTGTGGGCCACTTCATTCGTGTGGTGGGCTTGTCACAAGAACTGAAGGTGGAACAAAACAAAGACACATCAGACACCCTAGTAGCGATGGCCTCCAGCCTAAGAGTGATGGCCTCCAACCTGGTATATCAAACACATCCAAGAACAGGCTTTGTAGTATGGAAACATTGCCTGGTGTCCTGCATCTGTGGATTCTCGAGCTGCAGCTACAACCACATGGGTTCCCTCAGGTAGAGATTCCACATCTTCTGCACGTGTGACCGCGGAATAGACATCGTTGTAGTGTACCTTGATTTGCAAGATCGCAGCATCGGGGGAAAAAAGACTATCGCAGATTGCGGTTTTGGACCACAAGACGTTCAAAGGCAAAGACACTCGCCAGCCGATCAGCAAATCGACTGGGAGCTTTTCCACCACACCAAAGAATGGCAGCGCGCCGGATGCTTTGCAACGCTTGGGGATTTGCGTGGTCGGCTGCTCCATCCATCTCGCACCAGTCCATGGCTTTGTGTAAATGTGTTCCTGATCCGTGAAAGCAATGAAACGGTCAAAGCAAGAGATCTGCTACTGGTATCATCTGGTATCTATGGGCTCCAAAAATATCTTTGCAAAATCCAAGTGTTTTTTTGTCAAAACAAGGAATCCCTCATCTTCATAGCTTGGAGACATGGGATGTCCAAAGCGTATCAATTCATGGAGCCAGAGTGGCTACGACCTCGCTCCTATGTGACCTTCACAAGATTCAAACACGGCATGGCACATTGTTTGTTTCATCCTGTATCCTCGCACACCGTTCCTTCATCAAAAGCCAAGCTTTCATAGCTAGAGCAAATCTAGGATCATGGGCTAAATCATGATATGCAAGATATGCTATTCACTTGTTACTAAAGCATAATTCGAAAAAGGGTTGGCGCGGGACTGCTGGGTTGGCGCGGGACTGCTGGGACGAAAGCGGACTTGGGGTCCATGTCTTGCTGGGCCTCTTCGCTGATGAGCATCGAGACTTTCCATATGCGCTCTTAGGGGCGAGTGGGTTTGCCCTTTTTGCTCCCAGACAAGGCCCGCAGTAGCAACAACTGCCCGTGCCCCTGGTATGATCCCTGCACAGTGGAACATTGCTTTGTCATACCTCGTACTGGCAGTGTTGGCCACTGCTTCTTCTTTGCCAACCGGCCCAACGAAAAGGGTCTGCTGGTCCTCATCGAGGTCTGGAGAGCTCAGCAGTTTGGTGATGGCTCTGCCGGCAGGGTTCTCTTTGTGGGCAACGCCAAACCGCAGGTTGGTAGCAATTGCGAACCAGGCAAGCAAGAATGTAAGCGATCTTGTCTTGCCTGCCCCAAAAACTCCTGCTACGGCCAGTGTGGATCGGCAGGACTGCAAGGCCGAGACCAGGGGCAGGGCAATGGACATAATATGAGCGCTGTCTGTCTCAGCTGCGGCACACAATTGTTGACCGAAGCCAGTGGCTTGGGGACAATACCGCGGGGTCTTGGCCGTCGCCAATGGTCCAAAGAGTGCATTTGGGCTGTGCAGCAGTTCCTCAGCTCCAGCAAACTGATAGGAGACCGGGAGCGAGTAGGGAATGCCCAAGGCCGTTGGCTTCTGTTCGAGGGGCATGGCAGCGGAGACTGTAGTACCGACCTCAGCCAGACTGAGAATGGGGAGCGCAATTGTTTGGGTCTCAAGTTGCTGTAAGCTGGGCGGTAGTCCCCATTGTATTTGTGTATTGACCACGACCTCGGCTCTAGTCGGCAAGGGAGCAAAGGTGTCCGGCGTTGGAATGAAGGCTGCCGTCCATGACTTGGGACTACTTTGTCGAATTGCTAACTCCTCCCTTGATTCTTGCTTAGACTTCTTCTTGGGTTGTGTAACGTACTCCAGGAGCACTATCAGGAGCGCAAAGACTTTGCTATCTTCCCGGAGTACTAATCGGTACACCCTCCCAACTTGGCTGCCTATGTGGATGTGCTCTGAAGGCAATGTGGCAAGGGACTCCAAGCTGTGGACCGGCTGTTCTGGGGAGACGAAGGCTGCTGCTCTTGAGTGTGCAGTGAAGGCAATTTTATATTCATGCATGCCCTGCAAGCCTTGGGCAAGAGGCGTGACATGAATCAGGGACTCTGCACTGCTGATGGCCGGACTGTACCACAACTTGCTATCTAGTTTTGCGCCTTCTGCAAAGGTCAATTGGGGCAGGAAGAGAGCTAAAATGACGAAGACTTCTCGGAGGGGATTGGCTTAAACAAGGCTCGCGTGACCTCCGTGAGCCATTTTGCACATGCATCTGGCTTACTGCCGCCTACTCGAAAGTTGCGCAAGAGTATCGCTTGAGCTTCTGCCATTGACGAAATCCCCCAATCCTGCTGGTTCATCACAGTCTCAAAGCGGATCCAAGACGCGAGTCGAAGTGGTGCTGCCATTCTATCACGGACAGGGATAACATCCGGGTGACTGAGCTTAAGTTCAGAAAGGAGGCACCGACAGTGCAGCCAGTGCCAAAATTTGTGCTTATCAGTGCCCATCCATTTGTCAGACTCAGCAACAAGCGTGTATCGAAGGCGACAAGCAATCACATTTCTGTCTGTGGGAGTGGGGTGCCAGTGCACAACATATCGTCTTCCGCATGTATGAGGTGAATGTCACATTGGCCAGAAGATGCAATTTCCATCAGTGCTCCCATTACACCCTTGGGCGTCGCAATCGCGCCGAGTATCGCTAAGACAGGGCACTCCGGAAACAACACAGTGCTGTCACTATGGTGGCTCCAGTGTGAACTGCCGGCACTGAATCCTTCTACATGGAAACTGGTGGGGGCATAGAGCCCAGCTGCATTCGTGCTGTTCCCAATGCGCGACAGACATGGTGGACACATGAGGATACGTGCAGTCTGAAAAGACAAGAGCTTCCACCATCCACTCAAAAATGCAGCATGGCGACAGCTGCAAGTGGTCCACCTACCAGACACGGTAGTCAGCCTGCAGCATGGTGCTTTCAGCCGCTGCCGAGCCTTGCGCGGAGTGATTGCGCCTGGCTGCCAACCAGGCGTCGTCGCACTCTGTCTGCCGTCAGATTTTAACAGGATAGGGACGGCCGCGTGCGTGAGCTGCCAGCAGCTGCAAACTGTTGATTTGTCCCAAACGGACGTCATTGAAATTTTGGGTTCAACCTTTGCACACTGCTCACAGCCACAGCAACTCAGCCCTTCCCGAAACTTACGCATCATTGAGCAAGAAGCCTTTCTTAAGTGCACCTCGCTGCAAGAAGTCTGCATCCCACCATCCCTGCTTTACATTGCTCGGCGTGCTTTGGCAGGCTGTACGCAGCTTCGAGCAGTTCGTAAACAAAGGAAAAGCAAGACATGGCGAGGTACATATGCCCGGCTCAAGCCCCAATGGCTCCGATTCCTGCCGCCAAATGCCGATGACCAATGGAGAGACGACTTCCAAGCAGCCACACGCTAAACTGGCAAAGCTCGAATGACAGTGGGAAGGGACTGCTATTCTGCTTGTCTCAATGTTGAGAGCCAGGTTCAAGAAAGCTCGGCTAAGCCATCCTTTCGGCCCCAGTAACTGCGTTACAGTGAGCCTGTAGGAATGAGAGCCTAGCTTTCGCTCCTAAGAGGCGGGTGGTAGAAAATGGTAATGGAAGGTTGCCAGGAAACCTTAGTTCTCCTGGCAGCGGCCACGCCATGACCATTGCTGCACAAAGAGGCACAAGTACCATGCTAGGATAGGTCCACGTTTCAGTGGTTTCACCCGGGCCTTGCACGCAACAGGAGACTTTTTGCATCTCAGTGCCGCTCTCTCTTTTGAAACAGAGAGTACCACAATGGCACTCCTTGAACGCTAAGAGGTGCAAGGTGACCTCCCTTCTTGGGGGATGGAATCACCATGGTCAGCAAACCTCTTTCGTTGTCTCTGCCTCCACTGCCTCACAATCGACATGCCTCTCGTCTCTGTCGTGCAATCAGTTGAAAGGGTTGCGCAACGAGATGGGCCTTTTCCATGGCTTGCCAGGCAGAGCAGCAACTGACTTTCCTGGGCAAGGATCAGACTGGCTGACAACAAACAATGCAGGTCTTGCAAAGCACCTGAACATCGCTTTTTGCCACTCGATGCAGTGGCCCTCTTGGTCCAGCTTGGTGGGTGGGGCGAAGCCCCTTTGATAGGCTCCGCTGCACTCCGCTCTTGCGCTGACCATGCAGACCGAGGTTAGTTAACAGTCAGCTTTTGCATGTCTCACCCACGTACAGAGGAAACGCGCTTTGATGAGGGGGAATCGGCCTCGGCCGTGGTGGTTTTTTGGTTTCTGGTTCTTGTTTTGGTTTGGTGGGTTTTTGTTTGTTTTGGGTCGCTTGTGTTCTTTTCTCCCTCATCATGTTGTGTTTCCTTCCCTTTCAATGATGACCTGGGCACTCCGCCCACACGGCGTCCGCACTAGTGAAAAAACACTCAAAAATGCAGCATGGAGCACTCGGCGATGCGCTGGCAGTTGTCTGGAGGCCTCCAGGACTACTTGTGTTCGGCGTCAGTGGTGTTGAACATTAATCTTGCGAGCTCGTGCAGACTGGTCAAATCAACTGTGGAGGTCTGGGAGGAGGGGCTTTGGAAGGTGACATCCCACCGCATTTTCACTGCACATGCCCCCCAGTCGGAGATAGCCAAGTCTATGGGCCCTCGCTATCCCCGGCGGACATAGTCCAGGATGAGAGCTTTGCAGTTGCCGCAGGATGCTCTACAGGGGCGCATCAGGTTTCTACCCTGTTCTCGTTGACGCAAGACCCTTGTCAGAAGTGGGAATCCCTCGGGTTGGGGAAGGCGGCACAAATGTACCAAAGAACACAGCAAGTGCTAAAGGCCGCACGGCTCCTTCCTGCGCACAGAAGACTGCCACATAAGGCCTTCCTCAGTGGGATCCGGTGGAAGCTCTCTTTGCAACCGCTGCGACTAATTGCCTACCTGCCTATGCTCAGTTGCCTTCGCCCAAGGGGGCAGGCTGATGCGATTCACTTCACAGTGAATGGTTTCAGTGCAGGTAGTTACACTGGAGCAGTAATTGTGTTAGCGCTTCGCTGTTTGTGGCCAACCAGCCAGATCACAGCGCGACTAGGGGCTATAGCTATGCCAAAAGGGGTCTTGGCAGCCCTAGTTGCTACTGCGGACTCGGACAGGCACCACTATTACCTGGTTCGTGCAGCCGAAGATTGTCTGTGCGACTGGAAGCCAACTGACACCGAGCTTTCCATGTTACAACAATCCTTGCACATCTCCAGTGTCAGCTCCCTGCAGGGAAAGTCAGTCTAACTGACCTCAAGCTCACGCACCCCAATGTCATACCCCGACGCGAGAGAATTGCAGCACCCATGCAAGACGAGCTAGCAAGAGCTAGAGCGGGCACTGAAGGCATTCTGGCCCTCACAACCACTCGTGAAGCAGCTCTAAATCTGCGTAACTACTTCGAAATTGCCTGGAAGACGGCTAACG